TGAAGGAAGAAATGGAGAAAAATGGCGGTAAGACGAGGGAGGAAGCCTTAGAAGTACATATGAATGCTTGTGTAAGGTTTAATAGGCTAGGCAGGGCTTACCCTGCTTTGTACCAAGCTGATGATGTGAAGAAGTTGTTGAAGAAAAGTAATAGTGATAGGGCTGCTAAGGGTGGTGTTCCTCCTAGGAAGGGTGGCCTCGCTCGAAGCTCGAGTTGTATACCTGCCATTACTAAGGATATGCAGGACAAATTGAGAGTGTAATCCATGGATACATGCATGATTGAAGTTGTTATTGTAACTCTGTAAGTTAGATTGTTGAAATTATATGTGATGAGATATTGTGTCTTGTACTCTTACTTTATTTAGTTGTTAGTATTCCCTCTATTTCGAAATAAATGCATGTTTTATGTAACTATTTTTCAAGTAATTAAACGCATCAATTTAATTTTTTGATAACTTATGTACTCCATAATATATAGGTGATACAATGAACTTTAACACACTTGCCAAGTCAGCACTATTTTGACAATAATCATATCATATAATTAATATATAAAACTAAATTTTTAGCCAAATCACGAGACAACGACACTTGGCGTTTCAACTTTTCGTCAAGTGTCGCGCCATGTTGATTAGATTTATATAGACTTCGTTGAATTAAAAAATTATTTTAGAATTTTATTTTCAATCAAATTTGGGTAGAATTTTTGATAAAATTGTTAGTTTTTAGAGTTTTATTTTCAATAAAATACGAATATTTCATATACAAATTGAATTGTAATTTTATTCAAAAAAATTAGATTATAACTCCAAATAATCATCATTTAATTTTTTTTTATATCATAATATTTTTTTAAAGCGAAGCAAGTAGTTCAAAATGTACATCATCCATTTATAATATGTTCTAATCGATTAAATAATATACTTCACTATTTAATATGCAATGGAGTATAATTTTAATATTGTGTGTAGACATGTCAATCGGGTCGGGTCATGAATAATTTTTTTTATTATTTTTTTTAATGATATATTTGAAATTTTCACGGTCTTTAATATAAAATTTAAAACGTTTTTATCTTCATTTTCTTGGGTAAAAATTAAAAAAAAAAATATTAGTAAAATATATAACGAGACGAGTCTAAAAATTCCTAGATGGCTATAATATGTGTATGGTTTTCAAATATGATTGATTTTACTTTTTTTTTTTAATTCTTTATCGGGTAGCAATGATGAATTGGTGACGATAACGTGTTATGAAATAATGGTGAAAATCAGAGATTGAGTGAAAATGTGCATTTTACTTGTATTTCATATGATGGAGCCATCGAGGTATAGGTTTGCTTTCCGGAATGATACAATGATATAATAGGCATCCACATATATATTTCATAACATTTTATAGATTATTAAGATTAAGAGTATTAAGTAAAAAATTCTAAAGTAAAAAAAATAAAAAAATAAAAAATAAAGTTTGAACCAAATTTTTACAATTGGGCAAAAAAATTAGGTATATAGAAAGTAATATAATATGTTATTATTTCCTCAAAAAAAAAAAAAATGTTATTGGCTTTGTCCTAAACTCACAATGCTTATTGGGGATAAAAGTTGTATAGATTAAAAAGAATAAAAAGATATTGAATTTCACACAAAGGAAAAAAGAATTGTTTTTTGCGCTGCCATTGTGAGATAATTCCAGGATGAAAGATGCATGAATAAAATAACTAAAAAAAATTAGTAGAGAAAACGAGATTATTATTTAATTTAATAGAGAAACGAGATAAACAAACAATAAATTAGATGAAGGGAGTCCGGAGAAGTGCAGCTAGAAAGAGAAGGTAAAAAGAGGAATAGAGAACCTTAGTTTATGATAGATTATGTTAATAATCTATTGTAATTATCTTGTGAATATTTTCGTATATATCTGTCCTTAGTTAGCTTTAGCTTAACCTAGTAGTCTTGATGTATATATACTCAATTCACAATAATGAGAAGGCGCGGCAAATATTCTCATATTCTCTCATGGTATCACGAGTCTAGGTTTTTCAATCCAAAACCCTACTTCTCTTCCGCACTTCTTCTATAATCTTACCTTTCTTCTTCTTCGAATTCGGTTCTTATCAATGGCCGATCAAAAGATTCATCCTGCTACTCTTGTCCCCAACATCAAAACTTTCATTCCTATTGTCCTTGATTACAGCGGTACTCTATACAATACATGGTCTACACTATTCCAACTCCATTGCCGTACGAATTTAGTGATCGACCATATCATCCCTCCCGTTGCTAGTGACAAGCAGAAAGCCCCTGAATCTTCTTCTGACCCTGATATGTGGCAAAGACTTGACAACATCGTTCGACAATGGATATACAATACCATTTCAATTGATCTTCTTGATTCAATTATCGACCCTAATGACAAGGCTATCGATGCTTGGAAACGGTTGCAGAATTTCTTATTGAAAATTTGCTATGCAGGAAGAATATAATTGGAAATTTGCTATGCAGGAAGAATATAATGCTCTTATTGAAAACGGTACTTGGAATGAAATTGGTTCCTCGACCGAATAATGTGAATATTATTCGCTCATTGTGGATTTTTCGGGACAAAACGAATTCTGATGGCTCTTTTGAGAGACACAAAGCTCGTTTGGTTGGTGATGGTAAAACTCAGAGGGAAGGTATTGATTGTGATGAAACTTTTAGCCCGGTTGTCAAACCGGCTACTATTCGGGTGGTTTTTAGTATTGCTCTATCTAAGTCTTGGCCTATACATCAACTAGATGTGAAGAATGCATTCTTACATGGTAAATTGAATGAGACTGTTTACATGTATCAACCTCTGGGGTTCAAAGATCCGGATTGTCCTGACCATGTGTGTCTTCTCGAAAAGTCCTTATATGGCTTAAAACAGGCACCCCGGGCTTGGTATCAGCGATTTGCAAATTTTGTGGCTACTATTGGTTTTGTTCACAGTACATCGGATAATTCTTTGCTCATTCTTCGCCATGGTAACTCTACTGCTTACATTCTTCTATATGTTGATGATATTGTTCTTACAGCTTCTTCAGAGTCTCTGTGCTGTCATGTTATCTCTCAGCTTAGCTCTGAATTTGCAATGAAAGACTTGGATAATTTAAGCTATTTTTTTTGTATTGCTGTATCCCGGAGTAAGGATAGTTTATTTCTATCTCAACAGAAATATACTAAGGAAATTATTGCAAAAGCAGGCATGACAACTTGCAAACCGACTACTACTCCGGTAGACTCCAAAAGGAAATTAAGTGCCGCTTTGGGTGCTCTGTATGACGATCCCACTGCTTATCGTCGTCTTTGTGGTGCATTGCAATATTTGACTTTCACACGCCCAGACATTTCCTATGCGGTGCAACAGGTTTGTCTATTTATGCACGCACCCCGTGTAGAGCACATGAATGTGTTGAAACGCATTATTTGTTATCTTCAAGGTACGTCAGATTATGGTTTGCATCTTCACAAGTCATCCGTCTCTTCTTTACTCTCATACACGGATGCAGATTGGGGCGGGTGTCCAGACACTCGACGCTCTACTTCCGGGTATGGCGTCTACCTTGGTGATAATTTGATTTCTTGGTCCGCAAAAAGACAGCCCACTTTGTCTAAGTCTAGTGCTGAAGCTGAATACAGAGGGGTTGCAAATGTTGTTTCCGAAGCTTGTTGGATTCGTAATCTGTTGCTTGAGCTTTATTGTCCTATTTCTAAAGCAACATTGGTTTATTGCGACAATGTTAGTGCTATTTACCTCTCCGGTAATCCAGTTCAACATCAGCGCACTAAACATATTAAGATGGACATACACTTTGTTCGTGAAAAGGTTCAGAAGGGCGAAGTTCGTGTCCTACATGTCCCATCCCGATATCAGATTGTAGACATCTTTACTAAGGGCCTCCCTAAGGTTTTATTTGATGATTTTCGGGATAGTCTCAATGTTCGTAAACCTCCCGTTTTGACTGCGGGGGTGTGATAGATTATGTTAATAATCTATTGTAAATATCTTGTGAATATTTTCGTATATATCTTTCCTTAGTTAACTTTAGCTTAACCTAGTAGTCTTGATGTATATATACTCAATTCACAGTAATGAGAAGGCGCGGCAAATATTCTCATATTCTCTCAGTTTATGTTCAATCTGTGCTCATTTCATAGAAAAGAGCTGTTCTTTCAAAAAAAAAAAAAAAAACTAATAAAAAAATTGTTGAAATATAGTGTAATTCGTAAATGACGTAGCTTAGTACTAATACGGAGTAGTTTTTCTTGATGCTTTTGGTCATAGATTTTTTTTAAGGCTTTTTAATTTATTTTTTATATAAAGGTTTTATGGGAAGATTTTATATGGAATTAGAAAATAAACATCATATTATGGCATTAAATATTTAATTACAATATGTTGTCGAATATATATTTGCTATAATGTTGTCAAATATATTGGTATGAACCTATATATGTTGTCAAATATATTTAGGCAAAATTGTCTAAAAATACTTTGTTTTTAAATCATTTTGTGAACTAGTTAGTAATTTACTTTTTTTTTTTTTCAACTAATAACTTGATTAAATTTTGTTTTAAAAATGACATCTTAATGATGAAAATCGGTCAAAAAGTCGACTTTTTGGTATTTGACTTTCATTTTATAACGAATTAGCTTAGTTGTTGATCTGATTTGTTGATGAGACTTTGATATGTGTACATCTGAGATAGTCCCTGCATTCCTGAAAATTTGACTCAATTTATAATTACGTGATCTCCAATAAACATCTTTGACCATGAATAACTCGGGTTATGTACAAGTAAAAATTATAAAATGTAGATATTTGGATTGTTTATAACAAGGGGAATTTAATAATATCTCACATGCTAACTCATTGATATTGAATATAGCTCATAAAATGCGGTTAAAATTATTTTATTTTGACTATATGAATAGTAACTGAGTGGAACTTTTAGAAGCGGAGGTAATATAAATGACAGAGCAACAGAAACATTATGATATAGTAATCCAACATTACACTATCATCAATACACAGGAATATAAGATGTATGTCCGATCCATGGGGTATATATTAAACATGATCAATGGCCCCGGTAGTGCAAACACAGCAAATTGGGTTAAACCATTTGATAAAAAATGAGCGTAAAGTTGGTTGCTTGATGATGAACTTGACTAGGAAGTTCTGAGCATGAGCAAGGACAACAATCGCCATCAAACAAATCCAAGCAAGGAGAGTGTATATAGGTACCTTAAACGTAGTACATTCATATTCGGCAGTAGTAGATATTTCCACCGATAGAAAGTAAGTAACAACCGTTGCTGTCACCGCAATCCAAATGGTTATCCTTAAAACCACGACAAAGAGTCGGGTATTAGGAAAACCACTTATAAGGAGAAGGATAACACTTAGAGATGAAGCCAGTGCGATTGTATTCGAAACCACTAAATAAACCCAAGCTACCATTTTTTCCTGTATGTATCTTCCTGCTTCATGGGACTCTGAATAGGAGGTTCCTTTAGGAGAATCTTCTTGCCAAAAGCCTCCAGGAGGGCTTATTACGACCTCGAAAGCTATGCTTGCTATAACAGATGCTGCCACCATTAGTGCGTTGCTTTGATTAGTTATTGTCTTATCTTTGTTCTTGATATACAGTGCATCTTGAGCTCTTAATGCTTTGGAATTCTCAAGGGACGGTCCAATTTCATCGTCATCACCCCATTTTATCACTGCTTGATGATAACAATAATACATTTTTACTTTTCTTCTTCTTAGCAAATGGCTATCCAAAGCTGTCAAACCTTTTATGTTCACTGCGTTTATATCAATCCTTTTGTGCTCTAGTAATAATGTTACCATCTGCACCCAACATGTCAATTCAGTTCAACTTCAAGAACATCATCATTCACTCTTTTTTTTTTTTTTTTTAATTTCTTGGAAGATAGAGAGGAATTTGTTTTGTTTTGTTTTGTTTTTTTTTTAAAGACCTTTTTATAGTGGTCGTTTGAAAAATGAGTATAATATCATTTTAATAATAAATGATATAATCGGTTCATTTTTTCATGTTAAAAAATGAACACAATTAATTTTCTAATATCTACCACACAAATATACTTTTTAAAAATAATTATCCAACATAAAATAAATATTTTTCAAGAAACTATAAAATAAGAATAAAATTGCATAAATAAAACTTAAAATGTTAATGATACTATTTTATACCAAAAGTAAAGTAATATAATTAATTAGATGGAAAAAAATGTCAACTACGAACTACTAAAACATAACGGTAGTCTTATTTTCAAATGACTTATATAAAAATTTCACATAATATTTAACGAAAAGAGGAAGTATTATTTTGATTTAGGCATAATTAGGCAAGAGTAATATTACCTTGAGTACCTTTAGAAATTTAAGGTTATTTTCTTTCAAAACCCTTACAAAATTTTTGTGAAATGATTTATTCTTACCTCAACTTGTTTGGCAACCACTGCTAAGTGTAACACAGTATTTCCATCACTGTCCCTGGAGTTGAGCAGCTCATCATCATTTGTGACATCTATTAAAAACCTGAGAGCATCTGGCTGATTGTGTTTTACACACAAGTGCAGTACATTTTCACCACCGGTCGTTCGTTCCCGAGTCGCCTCTGGCATAGCCCGAAAAAGCTCATCAAGCACTTGAACTTGACCATTTACGGCTGCAACATGAACCGGGTTCATTCCATCTCGATCACGTGCAAAACACATGCTAGGCTTCACTGCAAGCAATAATCTGACAATCTCCAAGTGCCCTTTTGTGGAGGCAATATGTAAAGGCGACAAACCTTTCGACTGATCAACCTCCTCTGCTAATTCTGGCTTACGGCGTAAAATCTCTGACAAGAACTCTAGGTGTCCTGCTTTAGCGGCTACATGTAAAGGCAAACCCGAGTTCTGAATGATGCATCGATCTAGAATGAGTGGATCTTGTTGGAACAAACTGAGCAACGAAGGTACGTCTCCCTCGAGTGCTGCATTCAGTAGCCGTGTAACAGAATTAGCAGCTAATGGAGGGTGCATAAATTTGGCTAGTTTGTCATTGATCCATTGATCGAGAACAACCGAATCTCTTTCGAGTAAGTTGAGCAATGAAGGTACGTCTCCGTTAAGTGCTGCATCATGGAGCTCTGTTGCTAGAGAATGTGGTCTCTCTGCTTGTTGTCCAGCCATGCTAGATAAGCTGATAACCAAGTATATATATTTTTTTTATTTACCCAAAATAAAAGTTGAAAATATTAAAAGGTTTTTTTTTGATGTCCAGTTTTTTTTTTTTTTTTTTTTTTTTTTTTTTTTTTTTTTTTTACTTATGAGTTTCACTTTGTTTATGTGCAATATAAAAGATATTTTGAAAGTTAGTAAAACAAATCTATTTTCACCGTCCCATACTATAGTTCCTATTTTTCTCTTTTGGAAATCTAATGTATTTATTTTTGGCTAGTATGTAAATACTATTATACCTTTTATTTTTTTTTAATTTTATTCATTGTACTTTCTAAATTATCCTTGAATTTTCCACTTGATTTATACTTTTTCCTCTTAGCTTTCTCTCTAACTTTTACTTTTCACCTTTTTTTTTTATTTTTTATTTTTTATTTTATTTTTTTTATCTACTTCATTAACTTTCTCATCTCTCACTTGTGTCAGTAACTATATTATGGGACGGAAGGAGTAGCGAATTTCTACATGACTATACTTTTGAGCGTATAAATCACAAAATGTGTGTATGAATAGTGTAACATTCCAAACATTAATATTGTAAACGAGCAAAGTAAAATTGTGCGAAAAAATTACCTTATAACAATAATCTTTTATTATCTTTATCTTTATTTTATTTAATTTTTTAATGGAAGTTTTGTTGGTAGGTTGAGCCGTTGAGTGTATAAACCACGGCTCCTTCATTGATACCAATGTGTGCTTTGGGAACATTAATACGAAGTATATTCAATTGATCAGATATAAAAATCCCAATCGATTGATGTATTAATATTGGTACGTAGAGACTAGAGAGAATACAAACTAAGCACTATTTAATAACAAAACTGGAAACAAACAAATCATGCTACATTGTCTTTTGTTTTGTCACAAAATTATACGACCTACGCAATATTTTCAACAACTGCAGATATTCCGAAAAAATTGCTAGTTTGATTTGTACTAAACGAACTTGTTTTTTTTTGGCTGAAGGAAATAAAGTGATTTATGTTATTGGGTAACTTATATTGAGCCTCATTCACTTATTTCTTATCTTTGATTTGTACTAAACGAACTTGTTTTTTTTGGCTAAAGGAAATAAAGTGATTTATGTTATTGGGTAACTTATATTGAGCCTCATTCACTTATTTCTTATCTTGGTCAAGCTAAATTACTATTCGAAGCCTCATTCACTTATTTCTTATCTTGATCAATTATTCGAGACTTATCAACAAATTTTTTGTGTGGCTGTAGTACAGTTATTAAATGATATATAGTCCTTGTATCTATTCAATCATATTTCGACAAATCTTTAATGTGAGAGAACAATTTTCTATGCTCTCTCATATAAGTGGATCTTCCTCGAGCAAGTTAAGCAACGAAGGTACATCTCCCTCGAGTGCTGCATCATATAGCCTTGTTATAGCAAGTGAATGGCTTCTTTTTATTTGTGCTTCCATTTTTTATGGGAGGGAATTCATGTACAAGTTTTCTTGCAATTTTGTACTTGTGTTTGTCTCTTTAATACAATTATACCCGTTTAAGAATAAGAATGCAAGATCAATGAATGGAGACATTTATGATGGATTATATTTTTCTTGGAAGCTCACTCTAAAGAAACCTTTTATTTGAGCAATGGTGGGCAAGTCAATAGTGGTATACTCGCATGTAATATATTACTAATGCTTCGAAATTATTTAGTACTATAAAAAACTAGGTTACATGTTTCGAGCATGCATTAATTAATAGATTCTCTAGAAGGTCAGGAGAGCTCACTTCACCTTTTCCTCTCTTCCTCCTTCAAATATACTTTTTTTTTTATTTATTTTTATTTATTTATTATTTTTTTTTACTGCGCTTGGAGCTACCACCAATCATTTGGTGTTTGAAATTATAAATTAACTTTTAATATAAAGTACGAAGTAATTGTTTCATGACCATTGAGGTGAATAAAGCTTCATGTGCTAAAACTTATAAGAAATATAGTGTGAGGGCAAAGTTGTAAAAGAAGTTGAACGAATTTAGTTAGGTATCTATACATGAATATTATGAAAAAGGCATATTAGTTTTAGTTATATTTTAACTTTAATAGATGAAAAGACTAGTTCTATTGAGTACTTCATATATATGTTTATGAAATGTGCACTATTAGTTCAATTTTATTTAATTATGGTGGAAATAAAACAATTCATTTTCTTACTTAAATTTGCAAGTTATGGAATGCCTAACGACTTTAACATAGATTAGGGCAGCTAATGCATGTGTCATACTTTAACATTTGTTTTCAAAATAATAATAATAATAAAAAAAACGACTTTAACATTAATTATATAATATATTTATTTCAACTTTTATATTAAAAAGGTAATACAAAAAAGAAAGATTAAGGGAGGTGACATGTGGCATATGAGTGATTTATGATAACATATGGTATATGAAAGATTTGTGGTTTGTGTTTTTAAATACGAAGTATAGATAGATAGACATATAGATAAATAGATAGATATAGGTTAGGGCAGCTAATGCACGTGTCATACCAAGCCATGTTCAGGGACTCTTTTAATTGTTAGTTACATCAATAAGGGAAATTATATAAACAAATATTTTTAAGGATGTAAATGTCTGCATACTATTATAAATAGCTCAAAGAAAAGACAATTAACATTAATAAAGACAAAAAAAAAAACTATTAACATTAATAATGGCGAAATAAAAACGTGTATATATCACTACTAGAAATAGGCTAAATTGTGACGGAATGCTTACGACGGATATGATTTTCCGTTGTAAAGGTGGATATTTGCGACGGAAAATATTTCGTCGCAATTTAGCGACGGAAAATTTCGATTACCACGCTTTATCCCTCGTAAAATTTACGACGGAATTTATTTCCGTCGTAATTTAAAACTTGCGACGGAATATTCCGTCGTAAAGTGTTTTGCGACGGAATATTCCGTCGTAAGTTTTAAATTACGACGGAAATAAATTCCGTCGTAAATTCTACTGTCATTTTTTCAAAATTGAAATTGCGACCTTGCCCTAAAAAAAAGGGGGAAATAATTGAAAATTAGAGAGCGAAGTGAAGCAGCGCGAGGAGAGGGAGAAAGAGAAGGAGAGAGAGAAGGAGAGAGGAGAATGTTGCGGCGGCGGTGGTGATTTGTTTACGCCGGCGACGCCTGCACATCAGCCGCCGAGAAAGAGAACGGGAAATATAGAGGAGAAAAAGAACGGGAAAGAAAGAGAGAGGAGAAAGAGAATGGGAAAGAGAAAGATAAGGAGGAAGGGAGGAAGGTTCCCGGCGAGCTTTCGAGCCCTGGTGGTTTCCGGCGAGCCGCCGCGTCTAGGTAAGTGTGTGCAATTGTCAATTAATTTTTTTTTTTTTTTTTTTTTTTTGCAAAAAAACTACCGGAATAACATGGTAAAATTTGCTGAACCCACAACGCAGCCGCACCTCCGTCCCCAAGCCGTGACTGAACCCACCGGCCCTTGGTTGTTTCCGGCGACGCCCCACCTCCGCCTGACAGTAAGTTGCCTTTGCTTTCCCCCTTTTTTTTCAGTTTAATTTTGTTTACTTATAAACCCTTAATTATTATTTTTTTTTAATTTTGTTGTAGGATTTGTACAATTTTGTTGGTTTAATTGTTAAAAAGAAGTGCAGATCTAAAGGTTAGTTACATTACAAACCCTAATATAATGTATATGTGTATCTTACTTTGGTTGTTAGATATTCAATAACTTTTAGTTTGGTTAATTTAGTGACATTGGTGATCTCTTATAAGTAATTAATTGCTCCCTTCTCTTTAAAAAAATAATATAATGTTAGTTTAGTTTAGTTTAGTTTAACATAATGTAGTTTAGTTAAGTTTATGTTAATATAATGTGTTTTAGTTTAATTTATTTTAATATAAAGTACCTTATTGTAGTTTAGTTTTTTTTAGAAATATGTTAGATTAATTTAATATATAAAACGGTAGTTTGGTTTGGTTTAGTTTAATATAATATATTAATTATTCCTTTAATTTACTGTAGATGAACTTGTGCTAATGTACAAAATATATCAAACTTGTGAAGCAAAACAATACTGAAAGCTGCGAAAAGTTAGAGTTTCTGTAAATAAATACGTAGTATAAAAATGATAATTAAGTTAGCTAGAACTCGATCATGGGTTGTAACTAAAAGACAAAAAAAAAAAAAAAGAAAAAGAAAAAAAAAGACATTTATATTATTTTTTATTCTTTATGGTGGATAGAAAGTTAAAACAAAAGTATAGTCCTTTTTTCATTTTGATTTTTTTTTGTTTTTTGAATGGACAAAAGTAATAACGAGAACCAAGGCTATAATAACAACTAGAAACTAATCTAGGCCCTTAACTCATGTTAATCGGATGGCTAACATGCTTCCCGTGTCATTAATGGCATTGTCGTAATATTTCAACTTTGCAAAGTGTTTTCCAGTTTTATTTCTAAAAATTAAGTATAAAAAAAGTTAGTAAAAATAAATGAAATCAGTCATAACGTAAATAAAATTGCCTTAAAAGTTAAAAAAAATTGGAAAAAAAGTTACAAAAACACAAAATTACGAAAATGCCATTAATGAATGCGGGTTAGTGGCGTAAATAAAATATTGTTTGGTTATACTAATATTTTATAGGCACTCAGAATGCTTAGAAATACAAAATTAGCCTGATGAATTGTTTGGTTAACCCAAAAAGTGCAAAATGGAGGAAATTGAAATTTCATGGAAATATAAAGTTCCCACATAATGTAGGCCCGGCCTCCTAGGTCATTCAAAATTCCCTGGAATTATAATTTCTGTAATACCAACAAAAAAAGTTAGATTACTTTCTTAGAAATTGCAAGAGTGAAGTTACTTCCCATGAATTGTAACTTGTAAGTTACCATAGAAAGTTAATTCCCATTGTAACCAAACAAGGCCTTAATTTGTTTGCATAAGAAGAAAATAAAGGACAGAAAAAACAATATAAGTTACTAAAATAGCTGGTGGTTCATTTTCATCTTACCTCGGATTGCTTGGCAGCCACAGCTAGGTGTAAGACGGTATTGCCAAGTGCATCATCGAGGTTAAGCAACTCACCATCATCCATTGTTTCTACCAAAAACTTAAGAACCTTTGGTTGTTTATGTTTCACACACAAATGTAAAACAGTTTCATCACCAATAGTTCGCTCCCAAGCCGCTTGTGGCTCTAACTTGAGAAGAGTTCTAAGCACTTCAATTTGACCATTCATGGCAGCTACGTGAACAGGCGTCTTTCCATCACGGTCATGTATGAAGCACATGTTCGGATTCACCACAAGCAAATCTTCGACTATTTGCAAGTACCCTTCAGCACAGGCAATGTGTAGGGGTGATGATCTTTTTAATTGATCAACCACCTCTACTAATTTTGGCTTTTTTTCTATTATCTTCTTAGTAAAGTTTACATGCCCAAAATTAACCGCAACATGTAATGGTGACTGCATAAAGCTTCCCGATTTTCCTATGATGCATCGATCGAGGATAAGTGGATCTTCTCCAAGCAACTCGAGTAACGAAGGTACGTCTCCCTTGAGTGCTGCATCATATAGTCTTGTAATAGGAAGTAACTGGCTTCTTTCTGTTTGTGCTTCCATATATATTTTGTGTTGTATTAATTTATGAGAAGGAATTCTTGCAGTACGTACAAATTTGCTTGTAATTGTGCACGTCTTCATCTCTTTTATACCAAAGAATTAATAAGAGTGCAAGATCAATGAATAGGGCGGGAAATATTTTTCTTGGAAGTTTACTTTAAATAACTTTTTTCTAGCTAGCAAGGGTTGACGTAGCTATTGATATTCAGCTAATAGTCGTTGATTATTCAAGAGTGTGGAGTAGACTAACCAATTAATAACCTAACTCTAAAGTGAAACGATACAAAGTAGTGGAAACTTTAATATAAAAATTCAAAGGAACAGATTTAATAATAATTATAGAAACAAAGTGAGTGTGGAAAATATGTTAAACTTATAATTAAAAATGAGAGAGAGAGGAAAAGAAGAACTTTTAAATATGCAATCCAATCAATAATTCAATGTATAGAAGACTAATATATGTAATAACATCTTCTTTCATAATGAAAGTGCAAGGAAGGGGATGAATCAACATAGCAACTACAGTCTACAGTAGGGGTGTCAATTCGGTTAAACAGTTCGGGTTTGGGTTGGGTTTATCAGTTTCGGGTTATAACGGGTCGGTTTATAACGGATTGAAATAATAAACGGGTCGGTTTGGGTCGGTTTTGAAAATTATCGGGTTAGTTCGGTTTGGTTTTTTTAATTGCAGTTTCTATTCGGATCGGGTCCTTATCGGGTCGGGTTCTAGTCGGTTCGGGTCATAATCAATTTCGGTTGAAGTGGGTCGGTTTGAAAACGGGTTTAGCCCATTTAATGTGGGTTTTGGTTAAAAACAGTTCGGGTCTTAATCAGGACGGGTCGTAATTGGTTCGGGTCATAATCAATTTGGGTTTAACTGGGTCGGTTCGAAAATGGGTTTCAGTTCAAAATAGATCGGGTGAAATCGGGTCCAACCATTATCGTTTCGGTTATAATCGGTTTAGATTGAACTTGGTTGGTTTGAAAACGAGTTTACCCAATTTGAAACGGGTTTCTAATCAAATCATATCGGGTTAAAATTGAGTCGGATGATTATCGAGTCGAATTAGTCATATAATGGGTAGGAACGAGTCATGTTATAATCAAGTCAAGTCATAAATAAGTTTGGTTTATCGAGTAGTGGGTTGAAACAGATTAGATCATAAACATATTGGGTAACAGGTTGTAAATGACTCAGTCATAACGAGTTACGGGTTTTAAACGGTTTGGTCATAACGGGCTACGGGTTGTAAACTGTTCGGTCACAACGGGTTACGGATTATAACCGGTTCGGTCACAACGGGTTACGGGTTGGAACGATTTAGGTTTATCGGATTTTTATCGGGTTTTAACGGTTTTCGGTTTAAAACGGGTCGGGTTACTATCGGGTTTAAACGTAATCGGTTTGGGTTGCTTTCAGTTTCGGGTTGTAACGGTTTGGCTTGATAACGGGTCGGGTTAGTAACGGTTTGCAAAAATTCGGTTTAGTTCAGTTTCGGTTTGGAAAAAATTGGGTCGGGTCAGTTTTCGGTTTCCAAAAAACGGGTTTTAAACAGTTCGATTCCTTTTCGGATCGGTTCGAAACAGCCGGGTTTAACGGTTCGGGTCAGAAATTGACAGCTCTAGTCTACAATACATCTTATGAAAGTGCAATTGCAATTTTGGCCACTTTTTTTTTTTTCCTGTCTGATGCTGCCACAAGACCTGAAGCCGGTTACCATTGCTCCTACCTAAAATTTAGGTCGTACTAGAACCTGACTACTAAGAACTAAGCTCTGAATCCGGATTTGCATAAAGGGTGAACAGGGTAGGAACACCTAAAAAATACATGTTTTAATATATTAGTAAAAAGTATAGTAAAAGTAAGCTTATAAAGTGCAAAAGTTGAAATGTTGCAATTATTATGAAAGGAGGGATCGGAGTAGTTGGAATTATATTGAGTTGATCAACAATTGAGATTAGAATGAAAAGACTCTTCATAATTTGGATTATTTTTGTTAATTTTCCTACAAGTTTCAATTTAAGTAACTAGATAAATAAACAACTTAAAATTAAAATGGACAACATGAAGAATATAGGTCAAAGCTCTATATAATCTATGAGTAACACCTATCTATTCATGCTTATAGTCTATGGGGAAGTCAGACAAACTATTAAAAGTGCGAAAATGTTAGAGATATGTGATATCGGAAAATATATGTGTGATATATTTTCCGTAGATATCATTAAGGGAATAATAAAATTACTTCACATTAGACCCTAGCCTCTCTTTCCTCTCTTCTCTCTCTAAAACCCTAGCTTCCATTGTTGAATTTTGAAGGGGCTTCCATCGGATTTACCGGTGGAAATCCCCAATCGTTATTTCTTTTGTGCCTTTTCTTTTGCTTTAGGTTTATAATAATTCTTCCTCTTCTAGGAGGAATATTTCTCCCTCGAAAGACTGGGTTTTTCTTCCTCTTTAGGAGGATTTGGCTCCTTCGAAAGACCGGGTTTTTCTTCTCTCTTTAGAGGGAGGATTTGCCTTTTTATTTCATAGATTGCTATAGAGTTGTTTCATGGGTAAAATTTTGTGCGGGATTGAAAAAGAGATTAATATTTCGACAACAATCGAACGAATCAGACGAACATTTTCTGCACGGTTACAACAGATCGATAGACCCCCTCGCCGAAGAAAGCTGTAAATCACAGCGATATGAAAGAGGGTATGAAGAATGTACGATTTGCAACAACGATTGTAGCTTTGCTTACAGAATGTTTTTATTTGATTCAATTATTATGTATTTGTTAGATCTAAATCTCTTTGTAGATGTCGTATGACTTATCTATGAATCAATTTTATTTCATAAAAAAAATAATAAAATTAAGGGAATAATATATTTAGGTTTATTTTATGTTAAGATATGTTTAAAGAATATATCTTTAGGATTTATGATTATGGTAGTATATATTTTAGGAATATTTGTTTCCTATCTTAAATTTGTAGGTTTTGTATAAATACTCTACCTATTGATGAATAATAAGCAATCTATTCTCTCATAATTAATTTGGCAAAAAAAAAAAAAAAAAAAAAAATTAAAAACTTAAAATATTTATAATACAGTACATAAAAAGCAATATGTAGGCTTGATTCACTTCATTTAATTTTTTTTTTTGACAAATTGAAATTATTTGTAATGAATTGAATTTTACTGAAATTAAATTATTTTTGCCAAACTTAAATTATGGTTACTGAACATGAATTAACAATATGGATTAAAACTTAAATTTTATTCTTCATTAAATTAAATCTATTCAATACTCCGTAAGTTATTAATTTTTAATAAATGATCAAAATTTATTTTTATTGAACAGAGAACTTAACTTGTTTTTCTTATTTTTAATTTTTATTTGCTGAATTTTATTTATTTATTTTTCATTAAACATAACTAATTTTTATAGAATATCATTTGAATTAGGTAAAATAAAGTATATAAACTATTCTTGAGTTTCAACCATCATGATATCAAGAGTGTACATCAATATGACAAACAAGTCACAGATTAGAGTAAAATATTAAGCATGAATGGGGCCATACTGCCTCCACATGGGATGTGATAAAGTATAAAGATATGTATCGTAGTGTAAAAAATTATACACACAAGCCGTGAACATAATAAATCTTTAGCTCCTACAACAATAATGTAAGCACATACAAAATTCTATATATTGTAAGCTTAAATAATTAAGTAGTAGATAAAAGCGGTACCATTATAAATTAAGATAAGCCGATTGCAATTGATTATTGCATACATAAATACATGTAGAATGTAAAGCTACAAAAAGCTAGAGGTAAAGATGGATTGTGACGACACACATTAGTAAGTTTTGACCATTATACATGATTGCTTAAATTAGATACATTTGTAGTTGTTTTTTTTTACCATGGATAACATCTCTTACAAAATTTAATTATTGATTGCCTCTTTCGCCAACTAATCTTCTTCCATATAAATCGCACAACATGTCCAAAGAGTATAAATCCCATTAAACCTAGCCAGGCTAGAAGAGAGATCGTTATAGCAGCCCAAATTCCACTGTCTTCGTGAGTTAGATTAGATACCGAGAACATGTATGTAAATGCTGTTGCCGTGACAGAAATCCATAATATTATCCTTAAAAATGTCAAGAAATATCGCTTGCATGGAAGGCCGCTGATAAGGAGAAGGATGACACTTAGCGATGATATTAGTCCTATTGTGTTACTAATTAGTGCAAAACTATAAGCAGTATCTTTACTATATGACCATATAGCAGTACCTGCATCATGGCCAATATACATTCTCGTCATTTTATCTATTGTACCCGAATAGGGTAAATCATCCTGCCATACGCCTCCCGGGGGGTTAATTCCGGCTTGGAAGGCCATGGTTGCGATCAAGGATGCCACCACCATTAGAGATGTGCGCTGGTCCTCTAACCAAGCGCGGTCTTTCTTGGGTTTTAGTGCTTCCTTCGCGGGTAATGCATTGGCTCGATTGAGGTGTTTCCATATCTTTTCATCTTGTATTACATCCTTCCGACTTCGCTTATGAATATCTACCGCTGACAATCCTTTTTTGCTTATAGCATTTTTTTTTATCTTTGGATGTTCAAGTAAAAATTCTACCATCTGCATATCAAATTGATAAGCTTTAAATTATTGTATCAATCCATAACATTTTACTTTCCAACTATTTTGCTTGGCCATTAAAAGGAATATTGAAAGTTGCGGGAAGTTAGAGTTAATAATGTTTTCAAAAAGTAAAAAAAAAAAAAAAAAAGTTAGAGTTCATAATAATAATAATAAAAAAGTTAAGGTCTCAAGGGTTGTGGTTTATAGATAAAAATAAAAAAAAATAAAAAATAAAAAAGACATTTATATTATTTTTTATTTTTATGATGGATAGAAAGTTAAAACAAAAGTATGGTCCTTAATTGATGGACAAAATATTATTTTAATATTAAAATATTTTATTTGTTAGTGCATTATATAATATTTTATTTGTTAGTGCATTATAGTTTAGAGTCGAAAATCATACGAAGTATATATAAAATACAAAATATGATATAGCATAATCCGTAGTTATAAAAATAATTTGAGAAACATATATGTTGAATTCAGGTCTGTAATTGTTAGACTCAAATCAAACCTAAACCAAGTAAGTTTGAACTCAAATTCGATCCTCCCCATCGATCCCATAGGGTTTAAATATTTGGTACCATATCATAAACTTTGAAGTTGTGGTTGGGTCTAGCATGGTCTTAATCCTCCTTACTTTGATTTTCTCGTGTGTATGTGGTTCTACCACTATGGTTGGTTACTACTATCATTGTCCCTTTATTTTTGCCCGACCTATTGTCAATTTTTCGGTCAAACTTTATAAACTTTAACTTAAGATTACAATTAATCTATAAAAGATAATACAGTCATATATGATCTTGTTAGATTGATCTCATAAATTGTATATTTTATCAATATCACTATTTTATAGTTTTTACTTGGATGAAAATGGAGATATATATATTCTAAGACACATTTTGGAGCTGCGAAAAATCAAATGGGCAAAAAAATAGATGGGCAAAAAAATAGGAACAGGAGGAGTAATTAACACAAGTACTTCAATTCATACTTTAATTGTATAAGGAAATAAATAAATAAAAATAAAAAGAAACTATAAGTTATGTATTACTAAAATAGCTAAGCTAGTGGTTCATTTTCATCTTACCTCGGATTGCTTGGCTGCCACAGCTAATTGCAAGACGGTAAATCCAAGGGAATCATCGAAGTTAAGCAACTCATTATCATCCATCATTTCTATCAAAAACTTCAAAGCCTTTGGTTGTTTATGTTTCACACACAAATGTAAAACAGTTTCACCACCAATAGTTCGCTCCCAAGCCGCTTGTGGCTCCATCTTAAGAAGAATTCTAAGCACTTCAATTTGACCATTTATGGCAGCTACATGAACAGGCGTCTTACCATCTTGGTCATGTGTGTAGCAAATGCTCGGATTCACCGCAAGCAAGACTTCGACGATTAGCAAGTTCCCTTTGGTAGAGGCAATGTGTAGGGGTGATGATCTTTTTATTTGATCAACCAACTCTACTATTTCTGGCTTTTGCTTTATTATTTCCTCGGTAAAGTTTACATGCCCAAAATTAACCGCAACATGTAACGGTGACTGCATAAAGCTTCCCGATTTTCCTATGATGCATCGATCGAGGATAAGTGGATCTTCACCGAGCAAGTTGAGCAATGAAGGTACGTCTCCCTTGAGTGCTGCATCATATAGTCTTGTAATAGCATGTAATTGACCTCTTTCTATTTGAGCTTCCATATTTTGCGACGTTTAATTTATGGGAAAGAATTCTTGCATTACAAGTTTTCTTGTAATAATTGTGCACGTCTTCATTTCTTTTATACCAAAGAATAAGAATGTAACACCAATCAATAAAAAGGGACATATTTTTCTCAGAAGCTCACTCTAAAGCTAAGTCCAAACAACCTTTTTTCTAGCAAAGGGTTGACAAGTCAAAAGTGGCATGTATACTATATAACTAATAATTTGTAGTGATCCCTCAAAAAAAAAAAAAAAAATTAGTAATAATAATAATTTGTAGTGAAATAAAGCAATAATGGAAGTCGTAGCATTTGGTATCCAGCTAATAATCGTTGATGAATGTGGAGTGTAAACGGTAATAATCTTGTAAAGAAGTAAAGTAGGTAGAATAACCAATTAGTAACCTAGATCTAAAATGAAAAGATACAAAGTAGGAACTTTAAAAATTCAAAGTAACACACCATTAACTCATTAAGCAAATTTAATAATCAAAGGAAAAAAGAGAGTATGGAAAAGATGTTGAAATCAAATTATAAATAAAGATGAGGAGGAGAGAAAGAAGAACGGTTAAATATTCAATGTAATGATACATAGCAACATCTTCGCCTATGATGAAAGTGCAAGCTAGGAAGCTGGGGATCAACCAGGCCGCTACATCCTATGAAAGTGTAATTGCAAACTCTTGCCCTTTTTTACCGTGTCATATGCTGCCAAAAGGTAAGGAATCACTTACTAGCTCCTACCTAAAATGTGTATTAAAAAAGGGTATGTAATTTTAGTGCATAGACATGTGTTAGCTATCCTAGGGAAAAAGGAATATGCACGTATACAAAATATAATAATTCCTCCTTTTTTTAATACTTGCAACACTTTTCTAAAATAAAAATGTCACAATAGTTGTAACACACTATAATTGAAAAGTTATTTGGGGGAAAAGTTATAATATTTCTCTTATTTAAAATATATGACCCACTAAATTATACTCCTAACAACCTCTCACTCCAATCTAAAGTGTATTAAATTATGTGAACCTCACTTTTCTAAAATACCGTTAAAAAGTGTGTTGCAACTATTAAAAATCGGAGGAAGTATAAACTAGTTTTTGGGCCCGGGCGATGCCCTGGATTATTATATGGAATTGATCATTAATATACGTTGTAATTTATGATTCAATGTTCTTGTAATTAAATTTGAAAAAATGGAATATAAAAATCCAACCTTTTAGTAATCTCAGAAAAATCCAACCTTTACCCCCCACCTTCTCCAACAGATCCATTACCTGTTGATGACTCTTTTTTGTAAGTTATGTGCCACGTGTCAGTCGTTAATTGGTCAATAATTTTTTTAATCATTAAAAAACAAAAAAGAAAAAAACAGAAAAAAAAACCACCAGCCACCTCCCCCAACCCCCGCACCACCCCAGTGTAACACCCCAATAATTCTCTCTTTAAACCTGTGAGGACTCTGAACAATATTGAAGAGAATTACTGGCGTGCTAGTGTGCTACCGCCACGTGTTCAAACGTTAAGGCTTTATCATAAAATAGCAGCGGAAAAACTAACTCAGTTATAATTAAGTTTTAAAACCAATAACCAAAACCAAATTAAATGATACAAGCTGGAACCATTAAGGCCCTTATTCAAAACCCAACAAAAGTAGTAAATAAATAAAATCGGAGTTTAAATAAATTCATACTTATGAAAAGAAATAAACTACAAATAATAACCAACTCTCTACTTAAAATCCCACAACCCTGATGCGAATGCTGCGTATGTAAGAACCTGTGGTTAATCTGCTCCCCAATATTACAAGTGTAAAAATTGGATCGTCACAGGGTCATTGAAAGGCGAAGGCCATGACCAAAGAAAGACACACAAAGCACGCAATCTGCAAAGCTGAGTACATACAAGCTGCAAAACATAAAAGAAATCTCTAACATGCTACTAATAATCAACCATTACGCAGCATTAGTTTATAGACTCGGAACATGACTCAACTTTTTATATTACTAAGACTCCATTAATTAATAATAGGTAAATAATTATTTTTATTCATTGGATTTTGCAATAGACAAGGTTGTCCAACCATGCTCCATTTGGAACATCAATAAAAGAAAAACCCCATGCCTCCTTTCGGAAACATCAATAAACACCAACGACCACGGGCGCGACTCCGTGACCGTAATTAGTATGAGATCTCACCTAACTCCTAGTTTTAAAAAATATATTTGAAATAAGAGACTCGCAGATCAGACGACCTCGAGAAAAGTACACGGCTAATACCCCGTGTACCCCAACCCCTGATTGTCATTACTCCAGAAGTGCACCATTCCAGAGTTTTATTGCTCATCCATCTTGCACTTTACGTTATTTATAGGTTTAAACTTGGTGATGACTCATATACATTACAATACAAACATCCCAAACACAATTCAATCAAACATGGCAAATTCTCAATTTAAATTCTTGATTTATTATTAGTGACAAACAACATTTATTAATTATTCCTTTACTACTTCGGTGTATAAACACCTTGAGTGCATAAGGCACCCCAAAACCTTAACCTCGTCTTACAAGACTTGAATTCTTTCTTTACTCATCATGTTTGCATAATCATGAATGAGTAATAAATTAATCTTTACACCAATTGCATACATTTGCCTCTAAGCGCACCTTGCATAATTAGAGCACAAATAATACTTGCATTATAAGCTAGTGCACATCATTTGAAATTCACAATGTATAACCAAACAATTTAACCCAGTCAATCCTATACATGATACTAAGTTCTCGATCTGTCCTTAAACATGCACCTACAAGCAAGGTTTCGTAACTTGTACGTACCTTGAGCAAACGAATTGGTATGCCACTTTACTAACTAGAAATCACCTTCAATAAACTCCTCTCCTAAACCAAACAATAACATCTCAATCAATACCCAATCAATCAAATTTACATCAATACTAACTTACTTTAAAACCTTCAAAATCCAAATCAAACAACACTTTAAAACCTTCCCTTTAGTTAAAATTAAAGGCTTATATATAGTTCTTTAAGTTTTCTTCATAAAAAACTTAAAATACACTCTTATACATGAAATTACAGCAAGTTTAAATTATTTAAAAACCCCTAATAGTCTCCCTTTTTAATGGGTGATTAAACCCTCTTTATAAAACATCAAAAGTAATACTTAGAAACTATTTCTAGCACTTAAAATTTCAATAAAAACATATATTTATGCTTAATTAACTTTAAACATAATTAATTTTGTCAATCAAACTCAAGGATAATATTTTAATTATAAAAAAAACTTCGTTAAAATTAAAAACTGCCCGAAAATCATATTTAGAGACTGAATTTGGCTACTAAAGGGTGGTATTCACTACCAAAGGTAGTGAGACTTTCTTCAAACGTTGTTTTCACATGGAAAACACTACTTTTTTGTCAAAATCGGATGAGTTTAGAACCTGATCGGGATTAAAACGGGATTAATATTAACGAACGTAAATCTAAAAATTAAAACACGAATTTACATGTTCAAGATAATCTGAATTAAGTTAAACTAATCATTAGTTATAATCACCAAAATTTCAAAACATCATTACTATAAAAGCCCTAAATCAATTGTTTATAAAAACCCTAAAATCATGATTTTCAATAATTAAAAACCCTAGGTTATAAAATTTACAAAATCTGAAAATTATGAAATTATAAAATCTAAAATTATAAAGTTTAATCATCAAAATACAACTTGATACTAATTAAATTACTTTCAAACAATAAAATCAAAATCCATAAATCAATAATTATAATTATACAAATTAATAAAACAAAGAAGAGAGAAAATAAGACTAACCTTTTTGTGTGGGAAATTTTTGTGGATTAATGGAGTATTTATAGGAGAGAATGTTGTAGGGTAAGTAAGAGGATTGGGCCTCATAAAATTAATGGGCCAATTAGGTAAATAAAATGGACTAGGCTTTGTTTGTATGATCATGAATTGTAGAACATAGGTTCATAAAATAGTTTGTGCTAAAACAATTTTCGACCAATATTAATAATTTGAAACTTTTGAAATTAAATTCCGGAAAATAACAAATAAATATTATAAATAAAATAAATTTCATTTATAAAATATTTTAAAAATACGGGGGATTACAATCTACCCCTCTTAAAAGAAGTTTCGCCCTCGAAACTTAACTCGAAAACCATAAATTTTCCAAAACCATTCAAACTTTTGTGTTTTGTATTTCTGTAAATTGCTTGATCCTCAACATGCACACTCAACAAACTGAACTTTATGCTTTGTAAACTCGTACTTGACCATAGTTTACATACTTTAATTGCATGTACATACATTAATAGTGCATATTAATAAGCAAAATCATGCAAAGTCAAGCAATAAATAGCATTAATTAGGTAAAAAAGTGCGAAATTATATCGCATTCTACCCCTCTTAAAGAAAAGAGTTACGCCCGCGTAACTCACCTCCATTAATAAGCAACTCATTAGGCACTTCCTTACCATCTCATATTTCTCAACTTGCTTTTCTCCAATTTCCTCAAATATGGACGGTTCAATTAATAAGACACTTAATAATCTCTCTAGCTCTCCTTGATTGTCATCCTTTAAGTCCATCATAAACAAATGTTTCATCATTTCTCCAAGTATATCCACAATAACATCACAGGGTTTCTTATAAATAAACTTTCATTGGGTGTAAGGTTTGGAGGTTAGTCAAATTAAAGAAAGAAATATCCTCCCTAAAAAGCCAAGCATTAAATAAATAACATCATTCAAGAAACGTATATTAATATAGTCACATAAATATAAGCTTCACATAATGATCACACAAACCTATTACATTGCACAATTCATCACAAATTAATTTATATTACATTCTTTAATCCTTAAAAATGATACAAGGTGATAACAACACTCAAATTTGCAAAATTGAATAACACGTACATAATTTAAACCCCTTGCATAATCACTTCATTCAAAAATAGACAACACAAAAGAATTAAATACAATGCACATAGAAAGAAACCATCAATCTTATATGCCCATCCTGAGAATACACAAAACTCACCGATAAAATGACACAAATAGTAACCAAGTTAAAAGAGTATAATGAATATTCAAATTCATTTTATTTTAAAATATTTATACACCACACTAATTTAATTATATGTATAAATACATACTTATTATTTTAAATAAATGCTAAAATAATTAATTTTAAATAAAATAATTTTCAAAAACAAAATTTTAACTTTAAATCAAGTACTTAAATCCAAAATCGTTAGATTTAAAAACAATAGGCGCCCAAAACTTTAAATTGACTGTAGTGGTAATTAAATCAAACCTAAGCTCCCAGATACCACTTTGCTGTGCGTGAAAGGAAAACAAAAATTTTTTTGAATTTTGTTTTTCTTAATATGATGATGATGACACTTACATCATTACATAGCTGCGCTTATTGCGATAATTCCATTGTACATTGTCGAAGGTAATCACACTCTATCAATTTGGAGATGTTTGATTAATTTGATTGTATTATTTATTATGTGTAATCACATGATCTTAATTAATTTTTTTTATTTGTTTGATTATAAATTGTTAGTATTAATTGTACTCCGTATTGTTATGTGCAAATTTTATAATTTGTGAATTATATATAATCATGATTTATATGTATATGATTAGTGTGTGGTATTATATGATTTAATTGTCGCATTGATTGATTGTGTTATTTCTAGGGTTTTTAATGTTGTTGTTATAGGGAGTATTGTTTTATCGAGGTTTTAGGGTTGTTAATGCAGAGTATTATTTTGGGTTGAGAATTAATTATATTTGGGTTATTAGTATGTGTTTTAAGAGTTGAGATATTATGAATCGAATTGTTATGTTATTTGGGAATATGTGCCAATATTGAGATATTATAAATTAATTTGTGAATGGTTATTTGATCAATGTGTGAGATCAAAAGGTTGAGAATTATTATTTTGTTATTGGTTTGAAGCTCGACGTTATAGACCTTAGTCCTTGACATGTTGGTAATGAGATAATGATCATAAGTTAAGAATGAGGTACAATCTTTATTAATTATTTTTCTATGGTCCCCTACAGTGGGAATTGGCCCGTATGTGGTCTGGTTTAAGGTGTTTTCTAGTTATTGGGATTATTCAAGTTTTTATACTTGTTGGTTTTATTCGAATTACCCATGTCCAAGGCTAGGTATAGAACAACGAGCATGGCACACTTATGGGTTATATGAGTTGATTGAGTAGAGTTCGAACTATTATTCGAGGTTGAGTTGTTAAAGGTTATTTTCAGAGTACAATGTGTAATGTAGTTTCGAACTACATTGTTTAATTGATCTAGTAATGTTAATTATTATATTACGCTCTATATTCTGATATGTCGTGATTACTCAACTTTTTGCTGACGTGTGTGTGTTGTTTTGTTGTGCTACTTGTGTTTGCGGCCATGTCTTTTTCTTATGGTGGCCCTGCGACGATCTATTTTGGAATTTGTCCTTAATGGTGAGCAGTCAAGATTGTAACAGGTTAATCAAATGGTCGTAGCTAAAGGAGCTCAAGTGATCGATTAGTATGCTATAACGAGTTTGTAAAGTTGTAAATAGCTCACCTAGATTTATTGGGTTATAATTATTGGGATCTTTGTAAGCCTTAACACTTGACAAGTTGTCGAGTGTGGCGGTAATACCTCTAATTTAGGAGTATGCTTCCGCAATTTTATTTAAAGGTTGTTTATTTTTCCTTTAATTATTGTTTATTTTCAGTTAGTAAATCGGGGGTGTTACACCCAGCCACCTCCCCCACTCCCCGACAATTTCCCCCCACCCCAACCAGCCCCACCATCGGGGTCGCCGGATTCCGGCGATCTCCCCCCACCCCTTGCCGCAACCTCCCCAACCATCAAAACCCCCTACGATCTAAACCCTAACCACCACACCAAACACCCTATTTGACCCTCCCAAACAAGCCCGACCCCTCCCCGAACCTCCCCACCCGCCCGCCGACCACATACCGACAACCCTTGACCCGTTTCCACCCCCACCCTAAACCTGACCCCGGTTTTCTAATACCCCTGACCCGTTTTTAGGGTTGTGGGTTCGATTTCGGGGTTCTGGGTTTTGGGTTTGAGTTTGGGGTTGTGGGTTTTGGGTTGTGGGTTTGAGTTTAGGTTGTGGGTTTGAGTTTGGGTTGTGGGTTTTGGGGTTCTGGGTTTAATTTGAGTTGGGCTGTGGGTTGTAGTGGTGGGTGGTGTCGTGGTACTAGGATGGTGGTGTTGGGTGGTTTCGTGGTGCTAGATGGTGGTGTTGGGTGGTTTCGTGGTGATAGGTGGTGGTGGTGATAGGCTGGTGGTGATAGGTGGTGGTGGTGTTGGGTGGTTTCGTGTTGCTAAGGTGGTGGCAGAAGTAGTGGTGGTGTAGAGAGGAGAGAGAAAGAAGAGGAGTGAGAAGGAAATTTAAAAAAAAAAACTTTTTAACCGGTTTAACAAGTTAAAGGTCAAATGGACCTGTCAAAGAAGGTGGGGTGCTAAGGTTGGATTTTTTTGAGATTAATGGAAGGTAGGATTTTTATTGTCAGACTGGCCAAAGGTTAGATTTTTAGATTCCATTTTTCCTTAAATTTGTTGTTAATATTGTCATTTTCTAAATAATAATATTTTGTATCCAAAAAATTGCACAATAATCATATAACTTGGTGAAAACTGGTAAGACACTTAGTTGTAGAATTAGAGGTTGTGTGTTTAAATCTTGTGGAGAACTCTTTGCATGACATGCAATTAAAACAAATGAAAGGGAAAGCCACATGACATTTTGAGTAGTTTAGTGGCTGACGTGGCATAGTAAGGGTAGTTTACGTGACACATGGACGTTGTTAGAAATGCCTTTTAATTTATTGACTAATATAGAAGATTGATTAAAAGATTATTAGAGGTCTGGTAAATAGACCGGACCCACATTATATTAAATTTTGGGATTATGATTAGAGTGAGAGAGAAATAAAGATACACTTGAGGGGTCAAAATTATGTGATGAGTTGTACGAATTGAATAAACAGTAGGAGGTTTATTTGTGTTGAAAGATGTTATGTATTTCTAGGTGCCAAATGTACATGGTTTTGGACATCATAAAAAGAAATTATGATTGAATAAAATTTGTGATTCTTTTGACGAAGGGTATGTTTCAAAAAAAAAAATGTGAATGGTAGGAGTTAAGATTTGTATAACCAGATAAATTTCATTATTCATGTTATCAAAGAGACTAAATCTAATATAATAAACATGGTGTTAAAATTTGTACAAAACTACATGGACAAAGTAAATCTCCAACAAAAATAGACTAATATATAAGAATATAACATTCTAGTAAGTAGTAACGATGCGAGTTTAAGTACGTACTTTTGTAGTAGATAAGAGTGTCCTCATTAGAAATAAAGATAGGACAATTATTATTGATGATTGTTTATATATTACACATAAAATGTAAAGCAAGAAACATTTACTACTGGAATATAAGCACTGCACTTTTAAAAAACGATTAAACGGCCCACACTTGACACAATTGTTGACTTTATACGACCATGGATGTTTCACCTCAAAACTATATGCCAATAAGGAGAGTAGCCTCTTAGCCTTATAAAAAGAACACCATTATCTTCTTTTTTCAATGTGGGATACATCCCAATACAAACTCTCATTTATAAACTCAAACAATGTAGCTTAGGACAACACACGACTTACATTTATCTCCAACGATCCGAGCGTATACGATGTTGGGAATTAATTAAGGCTGTTCTAGGGCGTTCTGGTCGTTGACGCAAGAACAGCAAAAATACTTTCTGAAACATGACCTGAAAATGGGACGTTTAATGACGAACTTGACTATGAGTTTATGGGTATGAACAAGGATCAGAATTATCATCAAGCATATTGAGCCAGCAACAACAAAAGCAGGCACGATAGCAAAATCGTCACTTTGCGACATTACAAGTATCATCCCGTAAGTCGCAGCTATTGCTGTAACGGCAATCCACATTGTGAACCTCAAAACTGCGACAAAGAGTCGGCTATAGGTAAGACCGCCTATGAGTAGAAGGATGACACTTAGAGATGAAGCTAATGCGATTGTGTTCCATATTACTAGCACAACCCAACCATTCAATCTTTCTTGTATGTACGTACCCGCCTGATGTTCTAACTGGGAAGCTTCTGACGAAGGAGCATCTTCTTGCCAAAAGCCTCCAGGAGGGCTAATACTGACCTCGAAAGCCATGGCTGCGATCACGGATGCTGCCACCATTAGTGCATTGCTATGGTCCTTTATCCTGTTTTCTGTGTTTTCGATTTTTAGCGCCTCTTTTGCTGTTAATGCTTTGGTTTTCTCCAGAGATCGTCCAATCACATCATCCTTATCCCATTTGATAACTTTCGACGACACCAGCACATTTTTTCCATTTTTCTTACTAGCAAGTGACAATCCATAGCTGTTAAACCTTTTTTGTTCACTGCGTTTATTTCAATCTTTTTCTGAATAACTTTATCATGTAGCAATAACTTTAACATCTGCACTCATTCATGTATGCAAGCAGCCTGTACATTGCTTGGTATAGACGAAAAAGTGTGGGAAGAACATGTAGCTGTTTTGTAAATGATATACCACTGTTTTTTAAAGAACATATAACAGTTTTGTAAATTTTATCCAATTTTATGTTTTTTTTGTATATCTAAATAACATCTATAATATTAATAAAGAACATGAAAATAAATATTATGTAATGAACATTATTTTTATATATCTACTATAATTTAAGACAAAATTCAATAAACATTTAACAATAAGCAATGAACACTATATCACAAATAAAGGTTCATTACATTGACAATTAAATAACATGGACATATGTTCTTTTCACTATTTTTTGGTGCAAATATTATTTTAGGTATATATTCTTTACATCATAATAGTATGTTCTTTTCCCTACATTTGTATGTTCTTTACATTTGTATAATATGTTCTTTTTGCGAAACGGTGGTACGATGCAAAGTTACCCACGTCTGTAGGAACTACACACTCTAAATTATTTGGTTATTTCACCAAATACCCGAAGTAATTCGCTTATTCACAATATACCCATAAAACTTTTCAAATACACCATATACCCCCGATTTTAACAAAAATGTCCCATATACCCAAATGACTAACGAGCGTCAACTATGTTAGTCATTAAGGGTTAATTGTGCTATGTGACATCTCTTGATTAGTTATTTTATAATCTATTGTTAAAAAAAAACCAGCCCAAACCCCAGCCACTGCTACAACTGTGTCCCTGGACCCCACGTCGGCCTTGACGCTGGCGCAAATACCACCTGAACCCCTGTGCCGGTGCCAGCCAGACCTCAACCCCCTGAAACCGGCCCAAACCACCATCCCCGTCGCAACACCCAAAACTCCTCCCTCCCCACCTTCCAGTGCTCCAAACCCCCTTCCCTTGTACCAACGAATACAGTTCGCCCCTTCCCATACCATCTCCGCCCCTTTCCCCTACTTCACCGCCGTACTCCAAAATTGAAACCTTAATAATGGTTTTAAGGTTTCGATTATGGGTCTTAATAATGTTTTAGCGTGCTGGTTCAGGGAGAAAGGGGGCGGAAATGGTTGGGGCGTTGGGGGAGTGACAATTAAGTTCGTCGGCACAGGGGAGGAGGCTTGGGTGCCAGTGAGTGTTTATGGAGGGTTTTTTCGAGGAAGGGATAGAGGTGTTTCGGGTAAATGGAGGATGGTTTAGGAGAAAGGGAGGGGTGACAACGAGGCAAAAGGTGTTAGGGTGGCGCCGACACCGAGGATTAGGTCTGAGCGCCAACAATGGGGTGGTTAGGGTGGGCAGATGGCTGGTTAGGGAGTTGTGGGTAGTTAGGTTTATTTTTTATTTTTTATAATTATAATGTAATAATTACTTTAATTTTTTTATTAATTAATTGAAACCTATCATAATATGCTGCCACGTGGCACAATTAGCCATATAGATTAACGGAGTTAACGTCCATTAGTGATTTGGGTATTTGGTGACATTGTTGTTAAACTTATACATGGTGTATTTGAAAAGTTTCATGGTTATATTGTGAATTAATGAATTATCCAGAGGTATTTAGTAAAACAACCGTAAATTATATTATAAAAACTTTATTGTGTAGTTTTTTATCACCAAATATTTTTAATTTGTTAAAGAAAAATATTATGAAAAATACATATTTAGAAACTAAGCATTGCTACTAACCCTATTTGCCTAATTTGATATAACATTTTTCTTATACATTATAGTATATATTTCTCCGTTTCTATTTACATGACCTATAGCCTTTGACACAATATTTAAGGAGAGGAGAGAGAAATAGTATTCGGTGCACATGGTTCACCTTATTACCCTCAAAAGTTGTCCCCCACATGCACTTTAAGAGGGTATTTAGATAATTTGTTTACCAAAAGCTTACCAATTATAGTATGGGTCAAGTAATATGACACTTCCATTTTAGGAATGTTAGTCATGTAAATAGAAACGGAGGAAGTATAAGATAAAGTTTAGTTAATAAAATAATCATTTTCATAAATATTAGGAAAAATTATTAGTTTGATTTGATAGATTAGATCAAATTAGTAAAAATAAGGTAAGCTAAACATAACATAATAGTAGGAACTAAAGGAGAGAGAATTATCAATCATCAATCAATCAATCAATAACATAATACTAAAGGCGAATCCAACATGACACTTGTCATGTTTTGATTAAAAATATTCCCACCATTTTACTTTCCTTTTTTTTTTCCCTTACTAATCTTTATGATTATTATATCCTATAATATTTAACTTTCAATTTGACAACTACTTCCTCCGTTCTTTTTTACTTGATCCGCTTTGACTTTTACACTATTCACCATCACTCCTTTGACCGTGTTTTGTGAATAATATGTAAGGAAAAACATATTTATGTTGATCATTTTGAATTCGTCTCAATAAGAACTATCATAATATATAACTTTTATATTTTTTAATTATGGAGAATTAAAGTTATTAACCGTTAAAGTTTTGCATTGACAAGCGTGATAAAAGAAACAGGTCAAGTAAAAAAGAAGAGAGGAAGTATATACAAAGTATATTCCATATGCATTTTATGAAATACTTTAACTTATCTTTCTTAAATTTTTTAATAGTTATTTTTTATAATAAACAAATATATACTACGTACAAGGTAATATACGAAATCTATTAACTATTACTAAAACAGAAGATACTGACGTCACCACTGCCCACGTGTCACTCTTTTAATAAAAAAAATTCCCGCCTAAATGCAATGTTTTTTTTTTTTTTTTTTTTTTTTTTGTAGAGCTATCATATTTAACATATTTGAAATTTAAATATTAGAAGTTTCTACCTTACAACTAAAGCCTATCAATGTATCGTAGGAAATTGAAACAATTTTAAATAACACACTAAATTAATAAATGACCTCCTATATTGAACTATGACCTAAACGACGTTGAACAGATACTATATCAAAATTTTGATGAAAATAAAAGATTTTAAATTACAAAATTTACATAATTCTTTATATTCATCATGCATAATAGCGATTTATTTTTAAAATATGCAAATTAAAAATAAGTTTTATATAAACCGTGCATCGCACGGGTTCTAACCTATTTGTTAAATATAATAGAGAGATTCCAAAAAGGGAATTAAAAAGGGGGGGGGGGGGAGGGGGTGGGGACAGCCAGAAAAAGGTATGTTACGATAATATCATAAAAAAAATCTAAGCCTCAAAATAAAATTGTTTGATGGGAATCTTACCTCAACTCGTTTAGCAATAACTACAAGGTACAAGATAGAATTGCCATTACTATCTGTTTGGGTCCAATTTAGTCCAATTGGGCTTAGGCATTAAATGATCCAATTAAAAGCCCAAGGTCAAGGTTCATCTCTCCAATTGTGCTAAAGTCAAAGATCAGCCCTCAAGGCAAGCCAATTGGGCTAAGGCCCAACTTCTCCATGTATGAAGAGGTATAAAAGCCATCAATATTACATTTTTACATTCAGATTCTCATATATTGAAGCAAAGCCTCAAGAAACTAATTCTCTTGCATAGTCTTCTCTTTCAACACATTGTACTGACTTTAGCATCGGAGGGGCCTTCCTCGGCAACACCCCCGAGGCTAGTTTACGTGTGTTTACTGTGCAGGAAACCTTCGGCCAAACATTACTTGGACCGAATCTAGTCTTCTCCGTTTCATCGGACCTTCGGCAAGGTCCCATTGTTTTCACCCGAAACAATTTGGCGCCGTCTGTGGGGAAGACTTTCAAAAATCTTTAAGCCAAATTTCTAACCAAGATCATCTTGCAATTATCTTAGTAGCAATGGCTAAGAACCGCAAGAGCAAAGGCCTCCGTCAAGGAGCGGGCGAAAAGCCTAAAACCCCTACACCATCACCCTCGCCGGACCGGAACTCTACCAAGGGTGCCAGCTCGGGGGGAGGATCATACAAGGAGGATTCCCTTTCTCCCGTAATTCATGACTCTCATCATAGGCCGAGTCACTCTCGGTCTAGCAGGGGTGAGTCCGATCATAGGACGCATTCAGTGCCCCAAAGCCAACCATCGACTGTGCGCCCTCATTCCCATACTCGGCCGAGGACCCCTTTGACGGGGCCCAGCTCGGAGGAGGTGGCAAGAGCGCTGGAAGTGCTCATGGAGGCGATGAGGGCACAAAATATGCCACCACCTCGTGATCGAACTCCTCCGCATACCCGGCATCAGCGGAGGAAGCTAGACCATGATGGTGGGAAGCTTCCTTCCTTCCGGGAACTGGAAGAGTGGGAAGAGGATACCTGGAAAAATGAAAAAGAGAGGAAAAAGAACCCTCAACTTTTAAAAGGATCCTCATCCTCCCGACCAGAAACGCATAAGAGCAGCAGCTCAGCTTCTTGGCCAGAATCTACTCACCGAGAACAACCTAAGACTGTTCGCCGAAGCGTCCTCGACCGACTCGGCGGCAAGGAACCGAGCGTGCGCAGTCGCCTCTCGTTCCCTGCGGCCGAGGCCCAGACTTCCCAGCCAGGGACGAAAACCACTCCTACCTTTCTAAGAGGGCGGAGCGCGGTCCCTTCGGCCAGGAACAAGGGCAAGGCCGTTATGCTACCCTCCAGTTCGCCATTCGAGCAATGGATACTGGAAGAGCACGTGCCCACGGTTAAAATACCGTCGCACATCACATATGATGGGACCTCGGATCCGAAGGACCACGTGGCCTCGTATGAGACTCATATGCATCTTTGCCCCAGATCCGAAGCGACTTGGTGCAAATATTTCCCAACCACTCTCAAGGGGGTCGCGCAAGCGTGGATCTCCAAGGGAGTAAAGCAAGGCTCCATAACAGGGTGGGATGATCTGTCCTCCAAATTCAGGAGCAAGTTTTCCACGGCAAACCGCCGAGAGAAGACTACTGCAGAGCTCATGAGTCTACAGCAGGGGGAAACCGAAAGCCTCCGAGACTATCTGACCCGTTTCAGTAACGAGTCATCCAGCGTCTCACAGCTGGACCAGGGGCTAGCCGTTTTTGCAATGCAGAATGGCCTTCAGCCCGGGAAGTTCCTTGACTTCATGGTCATGCATACCCCGCAGACCTTGGAGGAAGCTCTGAATGCCTCGGATAAGTTCATCCGAGCCGAAGAATGGAACAAAGCGAAAACCCAACCTCAATTCGGGGGAGGGAAACAAAAACAAATACCCTTGTCTGAAGGCCAAAGCCATAAGGCAAAGGGAAAGTCAAAGGCCTCGGAGAAATCTTCGGCCAGCGACCCAAAGAAGGAAAAATCTGCCTCATACACAGGCAGATACGAGTCCTACACTCCGCTCTCTCTTCCACGCGCCAAAATTTACAGCGTGACGAAGGAGGAGCAGAGTTACCGAAAGCCGAGACCACTCCCAGAGTGGTATCAGCGAAAAAATAAAAATCAGTGGTGCGAGTTCCACGAATCTCCGGGACACAACACTGAGGAGTGTATCCAACTGAAGGACCAGATAGAGGACATGGTCCGGAAGGGATACTTGAAAAAATACATCGCGGATCACCGCGAGAAAAAAGAGTCCGAGAAGTCAGCAAAGGACTCTCGGGAAGACCTCGACTTCCCCCGGAAGAACAGTAAAAAACCGGAGGGGAAATTCTCTCCGATCAATGTTATCTCGGGAGGAATATACTCTCTGAGGGAGCACAAGCGACACCTTAGGGCTTTGACTCACCAGGTGAACAACGCTGATATTCAATCTCCCCAATCGCCGGTGCCGAACATGACGTTCACAGACGCCGACTGCCGGGGGATAACATTCCCTCACGAGGATCCGTTGGTGATCATCGCCATGGTGGCCAACCACGACGTCAGTAAGGTCCTTGTTGACGGTGGCAGCGGGTCAAACATTCTGTTCCGAAAGGCCTACAATCAAATCAAGCTGAAGCCCAAGCACCTTACACCGGTACCCTACCCGGTATCCGGGTTCAACGGGGCTTCAACTTATCCAGATGGGAAGGTGACACTTCCTATCACCATCGGCTGCGATGAGGCAGCCAGGTACGTCATGATTGAATTTTTGGTCATTGACGCTCCTTCAGTGTACAACGTGATTTTGGGGAGACCCATAATTCATGAGATCCAAGGGGTCGTCTCAACTTATCATCAGCTGATGATTTACGTCTCAGACGCCGGCTTCCCCGAAAGGATACAGGGAAACCAAAAGGACGCCCGAAGGTGCAACTACCTCAAGCCATCCAGTAGTCGCCCAGATGACGACAAGGATGAGGAGGAGAAAGAAAAAGAAAGAGAGCCAAGCACAAAAAAGCCGAAAGGCCTAAGTGCTTCGGCCCAAGGATCTGAACCCAGAGGTAAAGGGCCCGAAAGGGAAAAGGCTAGCTCTTCAGCTGAACAGCAAGACTCAGAGAGCCAGCCGAAGAACAAAAAGACTGGGACACCTGCTGACATAGGCAGCAGGCCAGATTATGAAGAGTCCAGTCCATCAGCAATGGACATGGACCAACAGACTGAAACAGTTGAGTTGGCCGAAGGAGACGTTGAGAAGTGTGTAACAATCGGGATGGACCTTGATCCAAACACCCGTTGTGAACTTATTCAGCTCCTTCGGGACAACAGAGATGTGTTTGCTTTCTCGGCAGCTGATATGCCCGGGATAAGTTCAGACCTCATCTCCTATAAGCTTAATGTTGACCCAACGTGTCGACCAGTTAAGCAAAAGAAGCGGAATTACTCCGCTAATAAGAACCGAGACATCGCAGCCGAGGTCAAAAAATTGCTGGAGGCAGGCTTCATCGAACCTTGCCAATATCCAGAATGGCTGGCAAATGTGGTGATGGTTCAGAAGGCCAATGGTACCTGGAGGATGTGCGTTGACTTCACGGACCTAAATAAGGCTTGTCCGAAGGATTTCTATCCCTTGCCGAGGATCGATCAGCTAGTCGATTCGACAAGTGGCCATGCCTTGCTTAGTTTCATGGACGCATTCTCGGGGTATCATCAGATCTTCATGCACCCCGACGATCGAGCAAAGACATCATTTGTCACGAATGCTGGGGTGTACAATTACAAAATGATGCCCTTCGGATTGAAAAATGCGGGGGCAACCTATCAAAGGCTGGTGGATCAAGTTTTTGCCGATCAAGAGGGCCGAAACATGGAAGTCTATGTCGACGATTCGATCGTTAAAAGCAAAAAACCTGAGGACCATGTTAAGGACCTGGCTGAAACTTTCGCCACCTTAAGAAAGCATCAAATGAAGATGAATCCGAAGAAGTGTGTCTTCGGCGTGAAGTCAGGGAAATTCCTTGGGTTCATAGTCAGCAAAAGGGGGATTGATGCCAATCCCTCCAAAGTCAAAGCGGCGCTCGACCTTCCGGAGCCGAAGACAAAGCGGGATGTTCAGCGGCTCACCGGAAGAATGGCAGCCCTCTCGAGGTTCATTTCCAGAGCTTCGGATAAGGGGTTACCTTTCTTCAAAGCCCTGAAACTCCCGAAAACAAAAGAGCTCGTTTGGGAGGAAGAGCAAAAAGACGCCTTTAAACAGCTTCGGGAGCATCTGGCTCAACTCCCACCGCTGGCTAGCCCAGCTGAAGGAGAAACTTTGTATCTGTATGTGGCCGTTAGCCCAGCCACCATCAGTGCAGTACTGCTGAAGGAAGAAAGTAAAAGTAAGCAACCGATCTACTTCGTCAGTCATACACTGACGGATGCCGAGACTCGCTACCCTCTACTCGAGAAAGTCGCTTTCGCGGTAGTAGTAGCTGCTCGGAAGCTGAGGCCCTATTTTGATTGCCATCAGATAGTGGTCTTAACCGATCAGCCGTTGGAAAAAAGTTCTCGGCAAGGTTGAAAAATCTGGTAGGCTAGCCAAGTGGGCTTTTGAGCTCACCGAATTCAGCATCAGCTACCGTCCGAGGGCAGCCATTAAGGCTCAAGCTCTAACGGATTTCTTGGCCGAATTCTCATACCAAGAAGCGCTAGACAATGAAAAGAAAGTCTGGACCGTGTTTACGGATGGATCTTCCACCGAAAACGGTTCGGGGGCAGGAGTAGTGATAACTTCTCCCGAAGGCAAATCCTTTGAGTATGCACTAAAGTTTTCTTTTAAGGCCTCGAATAACGAAGCCGAATATGAGGCAGCAATCGCCGGCCTAGAATTGTGCATCTCCCTGGAAGCCGATCATGTCTGCCTGAAAACAGACTCTCAGCTAGTTGCATATCAGATTAGCGGCAGCTACGAGGCCAAAGAGCCCTCCATGATAGCTTATCTTGCCAAGACCAAGTCAGTT